AAAGAAAAAGGTGTTCTTTGTCAGAAAATTATTACAAGCACGTAATAAAGACAGATTCACACAAAAAACCCACCTCTGAATGGGTCACAGTGTTGGATAACTGTAATGGGCTTATGAAAGAGAAGAAAGAGTACAGGCAGTCATCGATTAAAGGAGTAAGGATAATAAAATAAATCTTAAAAGTAATAGAATAAAAAAGCCACATAAAGGTGAAAAATACACAGAGAGTCTGGATTATGCATATTATTGTGTTTTCTTTGAATTTTTTGACTGCAGAGAGACATTTGATTCTGGGGGCTACTAAGTTAAACCAACATAAAGGTATCTTGACTTCAAAATTTGGGTCTAAGAATATGCTGCTTTGGAAAAGAGGTTCTGCTTTTGTTTCTACAGAAGATGAGAACCTCTGGATTCCTTCCACGCTAATGTAGTTTAATGATGGAACAAGACCCACCCAAAGGTCTTCATGAACCTTAAAAGTACCTCGCCCAACAAACAGCAGGAGCAGTTTGGGAAAAACTATTTTTTTTGAGAAAAAATCCCAAAATGATTGTTTATAAATGTTTGTTTTCATTTAAAGGAAGTTAATTATAAGTGATTAATGGACAAGTCAATTTCAAAAAAGGGGGGGAGATATGATATAGAGATGAACACTTTCCATTGGTATGAATCTTGGTCTATTGATACAGATTTAAGGGCTATTTTGTTACACTGTATATATGTATATTTCTACTCTTATTTAAGTATTATGCTTTGACATCTCATTTAAAAATGGAATCTATAATTAAAAGTTGCAGATTAATAGGTAGTCATTCATAATAGTCAAACTTGTAGTCATGTTAGTTAGATTTTCTAGATATATTTCAGTTAGATAATCTTCATCACTTCAAAGACCTACAAAACATGGCATTAATGTTTTAAGAACTTAATACTTTTCTAGACAATGAAATGTGTCTGCTTCTGGCAGCACCAATTACTTCAGAAAGGTTGATGGGCATTGAAGAAACTTGCTATGGAATTTGCCTTCAATGTGACAAAACTAGTAATTTGGGCAAGAAACTGCTCTTGCCTAGACTGCTTGATGGTGTGCTGTATGAACTGGAGATGCAGGACCCACAGAAAAATGACTGCTGAACTTTCCAAAATACAGAATGGTACTTCAAGGTTCCTGTTTCACAGAAAAAAACTGCCAGATATTTTGCAAGACACAAAAGAAAGCAACTAATGAACTTTACCATTATAAGGCAGAAAAGATCTGCAAATTTCCTGCTTCACTGAAAAGTCTGACAGATATTATGGGCCTGTACGCTAAAGATGGATGTCCCAACATTACAGAAGAACTTTGGGTGACTGTTCAGATAGTGAGATATCTCTGTCAATTCTAGAACTTTGGAAGTTGCTTATAATGCACTTCCTGTTTACTCAGGTAATATAATATCCTTCTGGGGTCTTTGGTGGAGATAAAGACTAGTTAATTATAATTCTAGTTTTCCTTAGTTATAATAAAGGATAAATTAGATATAAAACTTTAGACTCACAAAGATATGATAGAGTATTTTCCTTATTTTGCCAAATACAAATAGACTAAAAACTGTAACTGTAATTCTTGCTCGATTTCTGTTTTGTGTAATTTTACTATTTTAAAGTTAAAAACTTCCTTTTTTTAATTAGACAGAAAAGGGGAGATGATGTAGGATGTCCTTTTGTATATGTGTTGCTTTTATTGGTTAAGGAATAAAGCTGCTTTGGCCTATGGCAGGACAGAATAGAGCCAAGCTGGAAAAGACATGAGAGAGAGTAGGTGTCTAAGAGATGCCATGTAGCTGCTGAAGGAGAAAGACGCTGCTGCCAGAACCTTTCTGATAAACTACAGCCTCTGGGACAGCAGTTCAAGCCATGCAGCCCCAAAGGCAGTTCAGCTCAAAGGTTCAAGCTATGCATCACACAGGCAGTTCACCTCAAGTGTCCAACCAGAGTGTACTGAGTAATCATGATTATCAACCTGACTGGATTCCGAAGCACCTGGAGCTGAGTGGAGCCCCCTCTGTGTGAGGGGACTGGGGTGACAGATAATGAGCGAGGCTGTTACATGGTAGGAAGGATTTGAACAGGAACACAGGTGACTATACTACAACTATACCATGTTATACCTGGGAGGTCTAAGAGGCAATGAGGGAAGCCTGAGTACTAAGGGCGAAGCTTTTGATTCTCAAGGCTCTACCTTGTAGTATCAACTCATCCCGTACTTTTGGATACCCTTACCTATCAGGCTTCATTTGCAGCCAACTGCTAACCAAAGCTAATCCAGGCAAGTAATTACAGGCCTCACTACTAATTCCTGTCCTCCCCACTGATCTCTAAAGACACTGGGCAAAAGCACTGTTAGTAACTGCAAAATGTCCATTAATGTGAGTTTATTAGGATGTGTAAGATTTGTCTTAATTTCAGAGAGATTAAAGTACCAACCAAGTGGCCTGGGCTTGTCAGTGATCACGTCCATATATGGAGAAAAGAATACCTCAGATGGGAAGAACTAGGGTAGGAGCAGGGTCATCACAAAGGAGCCCTTCCCAGCAGGCTATCAAAGGCTATTTGGGGGCATTTCCTTTATATCTGGAGAGGTGGTGGGGCGTGGTGGGGGAGGAGACAGACCATTTCTACACAGACCACATCTCCAGGTAGCGTGAATAGAGGCAAGTGCCATGTTACCTAGTCAACATAAACAGGGTTGCGGACATACAAGTATATTTTTTTGAGAATCTTTACACCTTTATATATTTCTGGAATGTTATCATCCCCTTTAAGTGGGACACGTTTGCTTGTTTGTTTTTGAGACAGGACATCATGTGCCCCAAGTTGTCCTTGAGCTGACTATGTAACCAAAGATCAATTCTTTAAACAAAGGCTTCGAGGGAAAGAACCTTGCTCCAGTCTCTGCATAAAATTACTAGGAAATTACTGGGAAAGAAGGAATTTCATCTTTGCGAACACCTGGTATTGACACATTAAACTGGAAATGCTCATTGACCTAAACCATTGCCAAACACCATGTCTTCTTTGTATTTCAAGACTATGGACTTTAACTTCACATTAGCTGGAGGGAAGGCCAGATTTTATTTTATTTTTTTTCTTGTTCAGTGTTTCTGTTTTTCTTTTTTTAAATTTATTTATTTATTAAAGGTTCTGTCTCTTCCCCGCCACCGCCTCCCATTTCCCTCCACCTCCCCCAATTAAGTCCCCCCCCCCTCAGCCCGAAAAAAGGGGGTATTTTAAGATTATATTTTTAAAAATTTGAGGGGAGTAGATTTCATTAGTACTATCTATGTATAGTCACATTGGCTATTTATAAAGTGGGGTGAGGGACCAGAGAGATGGCTCAGTGGACAGCGTCCCTTCAGCCAACTGAGGCGCAAAGTTTGAGCCGTAAAACTCAATAGTGGGAAGGACAGAAGTGACTGCAAGTTGTCTACTGCTCTCCAGATGTAATCCTGTGGCTGGTGCATGATCCCCCAACCCATCCAATTAAATAAATGAAAAAAAAAGTTATTCACTTTATTTTAGATGAATATTAAGGACACATTATGGTTAATCTGGACTGTCAACTTGATGGGATCTAGAATCACCATGGAAACAATGCCCTGTCAGGGATTGTCTATACTAGGTTAACTGAGAGGAAGAGACCCACTGTACATGTGGGTGGTACCATGCCGTCAGGGGGGTCTGACTGTGGACCCTAGGTGTGCAGCTGCCCCTGCTCTTGCCAAACCTTCCCTGCCACAGCGGACCACGGCCCCTTCACTGTGAGTCAGAGCAAACCCTTCCTTCCTAAAATTTCTCCAGCCAGGATTTTGTTGCAGCAATAACACAAGTAACTAATACAGGAACTTAATAACCTGACCATGCAGTTCTTGGGCCTTTGGAACTGGATTGTAAGAAGAATGAATAGTTTGAAACTTTGGGCTAGAAAAGCCCTAGAATGCTCTAAGCAACGTTTTATAGGCCATTCTGGCAAAAGTTTAGAAGACCAGAATACTGTGAGAAAAGATGAAAGTGGAAACCAGGCTCACGAGAGTCCAGGGATGTAGTAATAGGAGGAGCGCGCTGCGTTCCTACAGCACAGGGATGTAAGGCCTCTGAGAAGCTGACCTAGACGCCATTCAGGTTACACCCTGACACAGAATCTGATTGCTTTCTAGCTGTATCTTGAGTGCGTAAGACCGGAAATGCACACACCACAACAGATTTGTGGATGAGTGGGTAGTTGAATAAATCAAGGAAATTTTAAAACATGATCTCAGAATTACGTGAAAGTGAAAAATACCAAGCTTGTGGGATGAAATAAAAGCAGTACTAAGAGTGAAAGCTCTTAGCACCTACATTAAAAAAAATCAGAAATAGTTCGAATAAATAACTTAATGATGCACCTCAAGAATTTGAAAAAAAAAAACAGGAATAAACCAAATTCCAAAACAGGAGATTGATTGGAAGAAATAATTAAAACCGAGGGAGAAATTAATAAAATAAAAAACAAAAGAATCAATAAAAGAGAAAGCTGATTCTTTGAAAAGATTAGCAAGATTGACAAATCCCTAGCCAAAATAACCAAAAGACAGAAGACCTAAATTAATAAAATTAGAGATGAAAAGATCTCTTAACAGACATCAGAGAAATTCAGAAACTCGTAGGGACATACTTGAAAAACCTATTCTACAGAATTAGGAAAGCTACAAGAAATGGATTTCTGGATATATCTGTCACACAAAAGATAAACCAAGATGAATGGTGTTGGGAGAGGGGTGGAGGAGGTGAAATTCCTCTAGCAATTCTCAGGGGATACCTTTGATAGAAGACCAGGCAGCACCTGAGAAGAAGGGTTCGGTTTGAACCAGGAAATCAGCCTCGTTAAAGGGGGCGCCCTCTGGCCTCCCGGGACCTCAGCAGGTTCTCAAACTTCCTCCCGTGGGCGGAACCCAGGCAGTTGGCAAGGCGGTAACGCTTACCAGCACGAAGTGCACCAGGGCATCGTAACAGAGCCAGGCGAGCACCCCACGCTCCACCGCGCTCCGCCCGCGGCCCAGGCGCAGGCCCAGCGCGCACCCCACGGCCAGCAGCGCCGAGCAAAGCAGCAAGGAGGAGCCCGTCGCCATGCTCAGTGCCCACTCCTCGTTCACGGGTTCCCCAAATAGCCCAAATCTCTGCAAGCCAGGCAGCGAGACTGTCGTAGGCGGGGCTTCCCACGGACTGAGCTTCTCTGGAGATCCGTGCTCGCAGGTGGGAGGGAAGGAGGGACTTCTCGTGGGCGGGTTCCTATGGGCGGAGCTTCTCGCGAGCGGGCGGAGCTCCGCGTGGGAGGGATCCTGAGGGGTGGTGACGGGAACCCAGGGGCGGAGCTTCTCGTGGGCGGGCCTCCAAGGGGTCTGCCCACAAAGCTGGCTTGGCCAGCCTGGGCAGCTGACTGACTGGATGGTTCCTGGACCTAGGATCATGTTTTACATGCTTAACCGCTTCCACAAGATATGTGAAGTCTGACGTCTAACAAGGTTCGAAAGATTAAGCCACTGAGTGAAAGTCCAGACGGTGGAGATTTCGTTGGGAGACAGAAATCTTGAGAACAAAGGTTCTGAAGAGGCCTAAGCAAAGATCTTCACAGTCATTACAGGCCTTTCAACCATTGCTTCGTTTGTTTGAGATAGCCTAGCTACTTAGCTCAAGATAAAATGGAAACCAGTATGCAGCCCAGGCAGGTCGAACTCAAGGTTATCCTCCTGCCCTGACTTCCTGAGGGCAGCAAAGACAGGAGCATCACCACGCTACCACCCGACCTGGGCTCCCTTGCAGGATTTTTAAATCTCATACAGCTGACTGACCCTATTTCTAATATTTAACCCACAAAAGTCAGGTGCTGTATGCCTCTGCTGGGGATGGGTCTCAACAAAACAACATTTGCCTAGCACTGTAGTAAATAAGAGCAGCAGGGCTGCGTCCCCGGCACCTGGCCGCCCCCACGGCTAGCTTTACCCAAAATAATTACACGGAAACTGTGTTCTTTTAAACACTGCTTGGCCCTTTAGCTCTAGCCCTTACTGGCTAATTCTGATATCCCGATCAACCCATCTCTAATAATCTGTGAGCACCGGTCTTACCGGGAAGATTCTAGCCCATGTCCATCCTGGGTCGGAGCTTCATTGCGTGTGTCTGCCCAGGAGCCAGGAGCATGGCGTCTCTCTCTCTCTGAGGCGTCTGCTCCCGAGAGTAGAGCTGTGGAGTCTGAACTTACTTCCTCTTCCTCCCAGCGTTCCATTCTGTTTACTCCACCTACCTATGTTCTAACCAATAAAATGGGCCAAGGCAGTTCCTTTATTAGCCAATGACCTTCCTCCATCATAGCACCCACTACATTTCCAGGTTTCCGGGTGGGGGCAGATTTTGGGAAAGAGGGGAGGGCAGCTGCTTAATGGAATTAATTCCAACTTTGCAACACAGGACACTTCTGTAGGCCGGCCTCACGGCAGTGTGAGCACACTAAGCACCACGGAGCTATATGCCTTAAAGATGGCTGGCTAGGAGGGTGGATTTTTCTGTATCTGCAGAAGATATCTCTTTACTGTGTATTGCTCCTCCCTCGCACTAGAACATAAACTCCACGAGACAGGGACTGTGACTGGCCTGTCTGGTAGGGGATACCTGACACCTATTGCAGATCTGGCACATACCAGCTGTCTAAGATCTGCTGACTGAGGGGGCAGAGCCAATCCTGCCAGACTAGTAACAGCAAACTAATGGCTCTTTAGTATGGCCGGTGCATTTCTCAACCACACTGACAGGCTCTAAGGTCAACAGAGCCCAGCTTCTCTGAGCATGCCTAGCAAGCATTCTCTGGATTAGCTTAGTGACGCTGGGAAGGCGCTATTCCATAGAATGGGCTCTGCACTGAGGAAAGAAAGGCAAGGCGCTGGCATGCTTCACTCTGCCTCCTGACTGCATGCCACAGCCTCTAGCTCCTGCCTCCATGATTGCCCTCCACGAACTGGGAGCCAAAGTAAATCCCTTCTCCCTTAGATTGCTTCTGTCAGTACATTTTTTATCACAGCAGCAAGAAAAGCCATGCACTTGGGAACTAACCTGTCTTCTAGATGAAAAAGCTGGAGGTGGCTCCTGCCCTTTCAGAGGGTCTGAGTTCAGTTGCCACCTCATCAACCACCTCTAACTCCTGCTCCAGGGGACCCAATGATCTCTTCTGGCCTCTGCAGCACAGCCCTCACATACACATGTACAATTTAAGAAATAGAAACATTGTAAGAGCTTAGATTAAGAGCCGTCAGAGTCCGCTCCTGCTCTGCAATCTTCTGGTTTCTGCCTTCACCACCATGCTGCAACAGCTCCCTCTGATCTGTGACTTCCTCATCAGTCCTTCCTACACTTTAAACCAACTTACTTCACTTTGCACATCAAGGTCTGATTCTTTCCTGTGCCTCAAGTTAATTCCATTCCCTCCTATCTAGAACCAGCCAGAATCCGAGAATCATTCTCAATACTTCTCTCCGCAGACTGCACCTCTCGGGCATCACCAGCCTGGTGTGTACAGCTGCCAGGCACCTCTGACCCTCGCTCTCCATCTTTCACCTGTCTCATCCGCACTAAACTGACCAATTATCCTGAAATGACTAAAGCTGAAAGACGTGGCTACCAACTAGCTGTCCTTATTAGAATTCATCTTCTGTGTACATAAATGGGTTAGGGTAGGTCTTGGGCCTGCCACTCCCAGAGGCCAGAAGATGGCACTGATCCACTGGTGATGGAGTTATGGACACCTGTAAACTGCAATGTGGGTCCTCTGCAAGACTAACAAGTGCTCTTAACCTGTGAGCCATTTCTACAGCCCCAAACACCATCTTCCTTTATCCCCTTTGTGCCAATTTCCTACTGCTCCGTGCAGATATCCTAGGGCTGACCACCGGGCTGTGTCAGCTGCCCCATCAGCCCCTTGCTGGCCCTACTTACCCCTCTCCGTTGATTCTCATCACAACCTTGCACACCCTTTTGTACACCCCACAATGCCTGTGTAGTTTTCCCACCTCCACATTTTTCAGCGAAACTGCCAAGTCAACCCCTGCTCTTGCTTCAGTTTGGAGAAAATATAGCTGGACAGATCTTCTTCACCAGGTCAAGAGTACTGCACTAAATCAAAAGCACAACTGACCTTCAGGAAACGCTCGCTAGCCTTTCTGAGCAGGCCTCTTCCTGACAGTTGTTTATCCTATGCCCTAGTGTAGTGCCTGGCATGAGATAGGATGCTCAACAAATATCTTAATGTTTCTAAAGGCTTAGTCAAAACCATTCATTAAGAAAAAATTACTGTCAAGGCACAGATAGAGTTAAAAGAATATGATAAGGAAAACTGAAATGAGATAGTATGAAATTTAAGTTTCAGACAGGCAGATGCCTATGTGATTGGGCAAAGGGAGTTCAGGCTGTTCACTCCAAGTCCAAGAGTTGGAAAATGACTGAAACTCTCTTTTCCCACACTAGAATTAAGTAAGGGTCGAGAGGACGGAAGCTGGTTACACTACTCATTGTTGGGGTACACAGCCTGTTTAAGTTGACAGGAACCAGGCTCAATTTACAACCAGGACGGGGCCAATGCATGGGTGCTCTGGTGTGTGTGTGAGGGGCTCTTGTAAAAACAGCTCAGTCTCTTCTGCTCTCTGAAAAAAATCAAGCACTAGTTCTAATCACACTTGTAACGACAGCCATTCGAGAAATGTTTTTCAGGGATAGGAGGGAACTCCATAGCAACAGCAGCCAACACTGCAGACTAAGCTCCTTTGAAGTGACTCATTACTTCTCAATCTTATCCCATAAAATGGCTGCCTCAAAAATCTGGTTTTATCTCCAAAATAACACATGGATGTAAATGTATGCTCTGGAACACAGGTTCGCAGCTGCATAAAACTAGTAAAGCTGCTACCGCATGAAGACATTCCTTATTTTTCAGCTTAACAAGGTTTTGTCTTTGGACACCGTCATTGGGAAGGGAGCCATTCAAAAGGCAGACGGTAATTTTTAAGGGAATGCCGGGGCATGCAGAGGATACCATTCCTTAGCACCGGTACCCACTTTATTTAATGGTTCTGGAATGTGTACTCAGGGTCTGGAGCGTGCCACTCCATCTCTCTACATCGCTCCTGTATTACTCAATACCCTTGTAAGCTTTCCAAGGGAACAAAATTCTGTGTGACTTAGGAAGTGATGAGCATGAAAGTTTTCAAACTACGCTGCCTTAGGGCCAACACTAACTCACTGGAATTGCTGACCTCTGAGAACAGCCTACAACTGGTCACAGACTGTTTTAGCTGGGCCTTTTACACAGGAATTGATTTAGACCAACAGTGTACAAGGATGGAAGTCGGGCCCCAGGAGACATTTAGGAATGTCATGTTCAGGTGTCTGGACTGGAAGAGCATGAGGTGCTAACTAGGACCTAGTGAGTATGAGCCACAGATGAGGCGAATCATCTCATAGTGCACAGGAGAACACCTCAACAATCAATTACCCAACAGCTTGAAATGGACTGAAATGAGTTGCACTACCGGTTGAGCTAAGAGATCATGGGGACAGACTGTATTCCCACAACCGTTTTCCCGAGCACCCTTCTTGATGACTGATTTCCACATACATTTCCGAGTCTTGCACAACCGTTTTCCCGAACACCCTTCTTGATGACTGATCTCTACATACATTTCCGAGTCCTGCAGTCCCAGTCTTTTGCGTCTGCATGAAAAGTTTTCTTTTAAGCTTCAAGGTGGGTTCATGAGCACTTTTTAGGCCAGTTGAATTAAGAATCAGGTTAATAAATATAAATTACACACCCCCTTCCCTCCAAGAGTTAAAAGTTTTCCAGAAGTTGAAAAATTATAGGTCAATTCTGCCTCCCCTCCATCCAGATCGAAACAATAATAGTAAAATAAAACAAATAAGAACAGGACAAAACAAACCAACGAGAGCCAATGATAGGGGAACCATAAACAGAATGTATTGGACGAAAAAAATTTCTCTCTTTTTATTTTTGTTTTATAAAGACAGGGTTTCTCTGTGCAGCCTTTGTTGTGCTGAACAACTCACTCTGTAGACCAGGCTGGCCTCAAACTCGGAGATCTGCCTGACGCTGCCTCCAGAGTGTTGGCATTAAAGGTGTGTGATACCATACCTAACTGAAAAAAAAATCTATTTTCAATAAAAGAAAAATATCAAAACAAAAAAAATATAGGTCAAAAAGTGTTTTAAAAAGTCACAAAAAGGCTATCTGAAAGCCAGGTGCTGTTGGTTTACCTGTGACAACGAATGCCCTAAAGAAGAGGCACCTCGGAAGGAAGCGATGGAAAGATCACATGATCACATTGATTTTCTTATACATCTTTTACAGGTAGTCTGAAGTGGCAGCATACAGAAGAATATCTCTATGCTCAAAAGTCCAGCTGCTTCTTTGTTCTTCTTACTAATCCAAGATTTCATTCTGAGCTACACTTCTACCTCGATAGGGAACACTTTCACGGTTACTTCAATGACTACTTTCTGTTACAGTTACATGCTTTTATAGCTTAGGCAGCCTTACTCTGAATGGCTAGTTTGTTGCATCAAAATCATAACCACACTATTTTTCCAAATAATGGTTTTCCCCCTAAATTACAGATTGGCAAAGAATGGCAGGATGAACTTATGAGCCAAGGATTGCCGTTCACCATCAGAAGCCAGGAAGGAACCCTCCAGGCTCGAGAGTGGAAGACAGCCTGGAACAGACAGCTGGGCTTGACATGACTTCTCGCTGCCAGATCTGCACCCATTTCTGAGGTTTGAAGCCCCTGGGTCACGGGGTTACTGTTTTGATGGCTTAGGGAATGATACACGTTGGTACTTCTGATGTGCCACAAAATATTCTCTAGGGTAGCTACTGGTTAGTCACTGTTGTGGTAGAAAGGAGACATCAAAAAACAAAGGCAGTCACTAATGCTTTACCATCACTGTGGCTGGCACTTGAAGACATTTCCAAAGTTAAACTTAACCACACAGAAAACAAGCTAAACAATTATTTTTAAAAATAAATCTTTCAATGTTTTATCATATTTGATAGCAGCTTTTTTATTGGTTACAAAAACCTAAGCCCATATACAAAATTAGGAACACGTTTAGATGCCTCTTTTGAAAGAACATTTTAGTTATTTTTAAACTGAGTTTAAAAAAAAATAAAAACAATGCAATTTTAAAACACTGTTTTGAAAACTTAAAAGTGCAGCAATACACTCAGTTCCTTTGTCTACGAAATGGTGCGATTCCAATTCAGGCCTGGTAAGGTCACGGCAAACTGAATCAAGCCGACGCACAAGTCTGCACTGCTTGATGCTACTGTTACTTAAAGGTTAGTTTGCACTTAGGACGCGAGAGGAAATAGGGATCATCACAGTAGAGGCCCAATTTTCATCTCAATGTGTGCAAATTTTAGAAGGTAACTGTCAGTTAAGTAGGGAGAGTCCAGAAGAAACTAAACCTGAAGGGGGACAATTCACAACATCAAGAAGATTTGGACTTTAAGGGTTTCACCAAAGTTTGTGACCTTAATTCATTCTTTGTTATTCCTTCTTTTAGTGAACACTACACAGTTTCAAAATTTAGACAAGTGTTTGAACAGGATGCAGTTACCATATGAAGCTTTAACTCAAAATTTGGGTAAAGAAAAAAAGGCACAATGAACTTCAACTCAATTTTATGTGCACAAGAGTTGAAAAATCTGAGCCACCTTAAAGAGAAATTGATTCTAAAATTTATAAAACCTATAAATAATCAGAGGCCAAACCACTATATTAAAACAGATTCTCTAGCAAGTAAAAATCTTGCAGTTTAAACATACGCTTGTATCCATTTTGGATACAAGACAAAGCTCACTCTTTAAAGTGGCTCCACCTTGGCAGATACACACGTCTGTAATGAAGCACACCTGCTGTGTTGTCTCTCAGGGAAAACACCCCAGCTGGCTCACAAAGCTCTGATGGCATTGGCTCCTCTTCGTCACAGTAGACACGCCCCCATCTGAACACTAACTTAGATTTCTATCCCTTCACATCAATGCATTGGGAAATTATACCCAGTGAACAAGAGCAACAAACCATTTCTGTGACAGCACAAATTATTTAGTTTAAAAAACTGCAAATCCATATTCATCCATCAATATCCAGGTCAGACAATTTGCCAAAAGCAACAACTTTACATAGTAATACCAGTTTTACAGATGAAAGAGCTCTGCAAATCGGGCTGAGTTAAATAACTGCACATCATTCCTCTACACAGATCCTGGCTTTCTCTTTAACGTGCGGATGCTCTGAGTGGGATCGGAATGAGCTCCCCGATCCTCAAGAATGAAGTCTTGGAACACTTCTAAAGAGTTGCTGGTTGGTTGCCACCACTTTATCAAAAGTACTGGTTACTAAGTAAAAAATGTTTTAAGACTAAATTACAGTAAACATGAAAGCTCCACAGTTTAAACCCAATATAAATCAACCATATCCAATTATCAAATTAAAAAAAAAATAACTCCTGGAAGCTGAAAGCAAGACTATCTTAAAACATTACCAATGAGTATTTTAGACCTTTTCCATTCCTGTTTTAACGTATTTATTTATTGACGTATTTTTTTGTAGTCAGGGACTCTTGCTTTCAACTTAACAGAAGTTCAAGTCTGTAACAGGTTGCAGCTCAGGTAGAGACCATGCACAGCATATGATTATTCAAAACAGCAGGAACACACAGGCTGAGTGAGTGGTCAAATAGGGTTTGCTGTTCTCAAAAATTAGGTATAATGGCGAAAGCATTACCATTGGTATCTAAAGCTCTTGCTCCAACCCTGGCTTCTGAGGCAGATAATAAACACATCAATTAATGGTAGGTGAAGTACAGTTTTAAAAAACTTATCTTTTTTAATCAATAACCAAGTTTCTTGTTTTTAAGTTATTACTTTTTTGTGTCAGTTCCACCAATGAAAATCATTTGGCTTGTACTTTAATTCTTCCACATAAGAATATGAAAATATGTTTGTGGAGGACAATGATGGAGGCTCAGATCACACTGCACCTCTGTAGTCTTCCAACACGAATATACATCATACCAAAGAGTCTTGATCCACAGTGCACCTTTTTCCAAAGGAGTACCAGCGGGCAGCTGATACGTCACCACTATGGAGAATTCTAACTGGAGACTGCAGTTGTCAGCTTGTGGCACCAGGGAACATGGAAAAATAGGGTAGTTGAGATTGTTAAGGAGAATTCTAAAACAGTTCAGGAAATCATGCATATGCATTTACAGTCCATGTGAGAGTGACTTTTGGCAACTGCAAAGTGACTGAGACATGGCTTGCTTTAGAAGCATCAAAACCAAGAGGCAAGAGTGCTGGGAGCCTTCTGCTGCTTGCTGTCTTATCGCTTGGTGGCCATCTGGTGGTGTTTGTATTGAATGAACGATGCTGCACTTAATGGACCTTAGAAATTAAATTCCTTTGTCTGGAGGTTGGCTGTTGGATCAAAGTTGTAAGTACCTCCTTGTGTTGCTTCAGGAATGAGGCTGGGATCTTCATCAATCTATAAAAACAAAGAGAAAACTCCAAATGAATATTTTAACCGCCTAAAAATATCCAGGTAAATTAGTGATAATTTCATGATATATTAAACAAACACAATTGAATAATTTTTAAAAGGTGCTTGGCTTAATAAGTTTCCATATCACTTCACGTGAGTGTCATTTCCAGAATTATCTCTTTCCAGTTAATAGATTATAAAACTGTAACAAGAAATGCTTTTATAATTTTTCCTTATAGTGAAATTGTGAATAAAATGTTAAAGAAAGTGATTAGTGGAGTATCTAATAGAAAACAAAACAAATTTCGTGCACATTAAGAATAAGAGAAAGGGGCTGGAGAGATGGCTCAGAGGTTAAGAGCATTGCCTGTTCTTCCAAAGGTCCTGAGTTCAATTCCCAGCAACCACATGGTGGCTCACAACCATCTGTAATGAGGTCTGGTGCCCTCTTCTGGCCTTCAGGCATACACACAGAAAGAATATTGTATACATAATAAATAAATAAATATTTTAAAAAATTAAAATAAATAAAGAAAGAATAAGAGAAAAATTCTACGTAAATGCCCATTACATGCAGACATCTATATTTTAATATTTACTTACATCATCACCAGAGAAATATTGATCTATGATTTCAAATGCTAATTTATATATGTCTTCATTTTCATGTTGCTGCAAAACTTCAATTTTCTCCAAACCTGACAAAAAATATAAGAATAATTAAGGTGGTAGTAATCTGCATAATCTAGTTACAGAAAAGCTCTATGAACCTCAGAGTATGCCTTTTCTCACTCAAATATGACCGTCTAAGATCTGGAGAGGTGGCTCACCAGTGAAGAGCACTGGCTGCTCTTCCTGAGGACCTGGGTAAATTCCCATCAACCACATTGTGAAGCACAACCATCCATAGTGGGATCTGATGCCCTCTTCTGGAATAAAGATGTGCATGTAGGTACATAAAATAAATCTTTAAAAAAAAAAGTAACAGTCTGAAAGAACACGCAAAAACCCAACCATCAGCAGATTAATTCCTTTCCCCTTAAAAGTATTTGATATTCCCTGGTCTCACAAACCAAAAACAAACAAACAAACAAAAACCCAACTCAGTCACCAAAACATTCCATCTGACAGAGATGACAGGGGTTTGCTTCTTGGTGCATGGCAGGTTAATGACAGTATAAGATCGGAAAACCTCCCAAAAGGTTATATAATCATGATAGCTCTTCCACAGTTTTCTGAATATAGGTATTTAGAACTAAATTGAAGGAAGCTTTACATCAAAAACACTGCATTTCAGAAAGGGTGTATGGCAATGGTGGCGCATGTTTAATCCCAGCACATGGGAGGCAGAGGCAGGCGGATCTCTGTGAGTTTGAGGTCAGCCTGGTCTACAGATCAAGTTCCAGGACAGGCACAAAGTTATATGGAGAAAACCTGTCTCGAAAAAACAATAACGAAGTGAACAGGTTATGTTCCACAGGTATGAACAGCAGAAGGAGAAGTATTCATCACTCATCTCCTTTTCAGGTTTTATGAGACAAGACTATGTAGTCAACTCTGGACTTGAACTTGAGGTCCCCTGCTTCTATCGAGTGCTGCATACAGGTGTGCACACTTGTGCGCAATTGAGAGTATCTTTTATAGTTCCATTGTACCACAGACTTCATGTACCAGGTGCACAACTTTATGTAATTAAAACCTTAGTATTCATCCAGGAGATAACATTTTTTAACATATTAAACCAGCTGACTTTTAAAATATTATATACAAATCAGAATATGAAGAAATAGGTGTCAACACTAATAAATGAAAATGCTTTATAAGATGATATTACACATTGTGATTATTACTCCAACAGGAGCAAACATAACTTTAACATTAAAGAAAGAATTGTCTAAGCTATTCAAAATTACTGGGTTATGAACTTGACTATGAAATTAATTTTTATCTTAAAAGATATCGTAATAGAAGCATGAGCATGAATTTGCGTGTATCGAAACTATTTACACGATCTTGAACAAAACTCTCACATACCTTTCTGTTTTTATTGATCTGTGAGGCTATTGCATTTATATTCTCTAAAGCATAAGCTGGGTAAACTACAGAGCTAACAAAATGCAAACAAAAAATCACTGCTTATAGTTTTATAGCAATGTCTGGATACTTTAGTACATACAGAACAGGTACTTTTTAAGAACAGAATTTTTAAATATGTATTTCATTATGTCCTTACCAGAAATTATAATACTAAATAAATGACTTCAGTCCAATTAACATCAACACGCTTTTGTAAAAATCCTAAAAGTCCTTCCAACTTTTGGAATTCAAACAAGACACACACAATTGAGCAACCACTTCCCAAAGAAGGGTCTACCCAGACACATGGTACTATGTATAACATAAAAATAATGTGTTTGCTTTGTCTAGAGTTTGAGAATGGAGTAAAGAAAACTTTTACCTACTCGACTAGTCCACCAGGTTTAACATTGTACACTGTGACTTCAAAATGAATGCTGTGGTTTGGTCCTCAGAACTGAGTTGTTGGGAGGACTTTAAGGACCATTAAGTAACGGGGCCTACTGAAGGTTTGATGTTGGGGATCTGGCCTTAGAAGAGTTAGTAAAGCTTTTGCAGAACTATCCTTAGCTTTATCTTACACTGTACGTTATTGCAAAGCACTGAGTCTGACCCTGGATCTGTCTTGTATTCTCTTATGTGTTCTGTCCTGCTGCTCCAGCCGAGGACTTTCCTAGAGGCATATGTATCCGTACATTACACACTAACTCAACAACCATTCTGTCTTACGCTTTCACTTTCCACAATTCCCAGCTAAAGAAACCTTGCTTTTCTAAGCACTTAGCCTCACATATTTCTGGTATGGCGATGGAAAACAAACCAATGTAATAATGAGTATTTCCTAAAATCCATCAACCTCCAGGAAAAGTGACTTCATGACCAGTATTTCTAAAGTATGAACTACTGTATTCTTTTGTGAAAATCCTTCAGCAATGCTAATATGCTACATAAGACCAGGAAAATACTCTGGTCACTTAATTAACAGTGAGCCTGTAGTAATTTTCTAGTAAGCTGAGCTGAGAGGAACCAGTATTTTAGAACGCCAATATTCACCTACTCACCTCCGCATTCCTCTATTATTTCAGCTATTGTGCTCGCTTCATCACCAGCCATTATCAGGATGTTTTTAAGACCATCCAGAACCACCTGAACCACCTGAGAGTCTTTCACCGACAGTAAGTTACAGAATGGTGGTATTACATTCTGTTGTACTAGGTACTCCACCTAGACAATACAAAAGAAGAAAGAATCTATGAATTCTCTTTCCCTCTAGAAACTGCAGTAGACGAAACTGTTCAGTAACTTCTGAGAATCAGAAGTCCTTGCTGCAGTTAGTAACAGTGACAGTTACAGTTTTCCAAACTCACTTGATCTTTTCTGCCACTTATCGTCAAGTTGCTAATTGCCCAAGCAGCTTCCTTCTGTGTTCCGAAGTCCCCCTGGAGAGTAAAAACAAATTCATGAAATAAATTCTTTATCCAAAAGTCTGGGTTGTAATAAATTAAGGTAAACAATGTATTAATGATATGACTGACCTTAGCAAGCTGGTGAATGATCATGGGGATTAATCCAGCATCTATTACAGCTTGAACTTGCTGCTGATTGCCTGCTGTTATATTGGAAAGGAACCAAACTGCTTCCTGTAGTGAACAAAATATGGGTCAGTTTTATTGGAAAAACTATATTTATTACCTGTACTTTTCTCTTTTTAATATTATAAATATTTGATAACAAAATCTCCTGAGTAGGGTTAAAGTGACCGTGTCTAAAATGTGACTGGTTAAGACCTCCATTTTCTTTTACTTACTATCATTTTATGTGAGTCTAGTGCTTGTAAACAAGTAAACGGATGTGCCCATGCATGCCATGGTGCGCATGTGCAGGTCGGTACTTCCCTCCAGCATGCGGTTCCAGAGATCAAACTCAGGTTGTCAGGTTTACATGGCTAGCATTTTAACATGTGATTCAGCCAACTCAGACCTCCCATTTCATTAAAGGGAAGCCTCCTTCCCCAATACTTCTGTGTCCACTTAAACCATTATTTATTCAATAATCTGTAAGCCTAGCTAAAGCTACATATTGTTCTAGGCAATGGTGATATGGCAACAAATAAAACAGACCCAAATCTTTAGCCTAGGGGTACATTTCATTCTCTTTTTGAAAGGCAGGCCAGAAGAATGGAGTTTCCAAACACTCGTCAACACTACTTGTATTAAAGAGCTGTAGTTTATTGGAAAGCATGAGGCGGGGGAGAAGGATCACTGGGTAAGGTGCCGAGGTCCTGATGCTCAGCACCTGTGTCAAGATGCATGGTGACAAGCGTCTATACTCACAGCTGCAGAGAAAGCAAAACCCTAATATACAGTCAAGTACAGCCATTAATGAAAGTCTGAAGGTTCCTCAAAAAGCTACTACACAATTGCCATGACTCAGCAACTTCCAGTATGTCAGAAAGGAAATTAAACCAAGGACTGAAACAGTCCCTGAGGTGTCAGTGTTTTCTGCAGCATTAATTACAACAGACATAAGGTATGAACAACCCCAGTGTCAACCAACAGGCAAATGAGGAAAATGAGGCACATACATACAAACAGAATGGCTTATTCAGCCATAAAAGCAAATCAAGTCAGGGCTCTGGGAAGTGGCTGTGTTGGGGAACGGCTTGCCATGCAAGCATGAACATCTGATGGATCTCCAGCATCCAGGTAAAAGTTGGGCTCAGTGGCATCTCTACCTGGAGCACAACTGAGGCAGAGAGAAGGGGTCTGTGGTGCCCATGTCCAATGAGAGACCCTGACTCAAAATACAAGGTGGAGGAGCTGGAGAGATGGCTCCAAGACAAAGAACATGGACTGCTCTTCTCCAGAATCAGAGCTCAGCTCCTCGGAACCACACTGGGTGGCTGACAACCGCCTGTGCCTCCAGCTCCAGAGAGCTGATGCCAGATGCACATACCCATCCGCCCGTACACTGAAAAGACACAGAACTAATGTAAAAGTAATTTTAAAGAAATACATGTAGAGGGAGGAGAGAGGAAGGGAGGGGAGCAGAGAAAATGTACAGTTCAATAAAAACAAATTTTAAAAAGAAAGAAAAAAAATACATGTAGAAAGAAACTAAGAAAGATACCTGATGTTAACTTTGGTTCTACACACACACACACACACACACACACACACACACACACAGAGAGAGAGAGAGAGAGAGAGAGAGAGAGAGAGAGAAGAGAGAGAGAGAGCGCTCTAATACACTGTTTTAAATGAATTTTGAAACACGGTATAGGATAGGCAAAACAATCCTGTACAATAAAAAAACTTCTGGAGGCATCATAACTCCTGACTTCAAACTCTACTATAGATCGGCAGCCTGGTATTAGCATAAAAACAGACAGGAGGACCAATGAAACAGAATCAAAGACCCAGATTTAATCCACACACCTACAAACACCTGATTTTTGACAAAGATGCAAAAAATATAAAATGGAAAAAAAAACATATTTAACAAATGATACTGGCATAACTGGATAAACACGTAGAAGAAGCCGGGTGATGGTGGCGCATGCCTTTAATCCCAGCACTCGGAAGGCAGAGGCAGGTGGATCTCTGTGAGTTCGAGACCAGCCTGGTCTACAGAGCTAGTTCCAGGACAGGCTGCAAAGCCACAGAAAAACCCTGTCTCGAGAAACCAAAAAAAAAAAAAAAACAAAAAAAAAACAAAAAAAACAACAAAACAAGAACAACAAAAACATGTAGAAGAATGAAAATAGATCTAAGTCTATCAAAGTCTATCACCATGCACAAAGCTCAACTCCAAATAGATCAAAGACCTCAACACAAAGCCAACCACACTGAACCTCACAGAAGAGAAAGTAGGAAGTACCCTTGAATGCACTGGCACAGGAGACCACTTTCTAAATATAACCCCAGTAGCACAGACACCGAGAGAAACAGTAACTGGAACCTCCCGAAACTGAGAAGCTTTTGTAAAGCAAAGGACATGGTCAACAAGACAAAATGACAGCCCGCTTCACTAACCCCACATCGGACAGAGGACTGATCTCCAAAATATACAAAGAACTCAAAAAATTGGTCATCAAAAGAACAAATAATCCAATTTTAAAAAATGGGGTACAGACCGAAATAGAGAACTCTCAACAGAGGAATCTAAAAATGGCTGAGAGACACTTAAGGAAATGCTCCACATCCTTAGTCATCAGAGAAATGCAAATCAAAACAACTCTGAGATTCCATCTTACACCTGTAAGAAGGGCCAAGACCAAAAACACTGATGACAAGCTTATGCTGGAGAGGATGTGGGGTATTGCTGGTGGGAGTGAAGCTGGTACAGCACCTTTGTATATCATTATGATAATTTCTCAGAAAATTAGGAATCAACCTTCCTCAAGACCCAGTAATTATCACTTTTTTTTTTTTTTGCTCAATTGTACTACAAGGACATGTGCTCAACTATGTTTATAGCAGCATTGTTTGTCATAATCAGAACCTGGAAACACCTAAAATGCCCCTCGACCGAAGAATGGATAAGGAAAATGTGGTACATTTACACAATGGAGTACTACACAGCAGAAAAAAATGGTATCTTTAAATTTTTAGGCAAATGGGTGGAGCTAGAAAACATCAGTTTGAGTGAGGTTACCAGACCCAGAAAAACATATGTACTCACTCACAAGTGGCTTTTAGACATAAAGCAAAGAAAACCAACCCAGAAATCATAAGATCAGAGAACCTAGAGAACAATGAGGACCCTAAGAGGGATAGATATACATTGATCTAATCTATATGGGAAGAAGAAAAAGACAAGATCTCCTGAGTAAATTGGGAGCATGGGGACTATGAAAGAGGGTTGAGGGGAGGGGAGAAAAGAGGAGGGGAGCAGAGAAAAATGTATAGTTCAATAAAATCAATTAAAAAAACATGGTATGTGAAATAAGCCATAAAACTCTTAAATAATTATCTACTATACAACTAATAATAAATTTTTAAATAAATTTGAAACTTTTAAAAGTAAATTTTTATCATCCTTGATAGAAGGCATGACACCTTTAGAATTAGGTCTATTCTAATTTTGTAGGGAAATAACTGTTTTAAAATTACCAGTTATTTTAGTGAGAGACTATATGTTTTTGCATACTGGTTACTAATTTAATGATACTGTTCAATCTATAAGCACATAAATAGTCCAAAAATTTTATTGTGATGATAGTACGACTAAAGGCAACAGAAACTAAAACAGTTTTAAAGATCCACTTACAACCATCCTCATCTTGAATGCCAGGACCCTGAGTGAGAAAACACATCGTAACAGCAGCAAGGAAACAGCCACAGACAGAAGAAGGGCAGTGTGTGCCTTTACCTTATTTATTTTCTCTTTCGGGTGTGATAAGAGGTTTGGGAAGTGGGACAGGACATCGCAGTTAAGAACCACCTGGGTCTGCTCGTCAGTGCCAGTCACTATGTTCCCAACTGCTCTGAGTGCTGCAGTCTAGAGAGGGGAGAACATGTTTTAAGTATGTTTATAATGAAATTGTCATCTCTGTAGTTTTCATAACTCTGAGGATGTGAGGAGCAAATGATGAACATTTATTTCATCCCTACAGCAAAGCCAGAACCAAACTAGCAAGGACTTTTAAACAACCATCTCCTACGGAAAATTATAGAACTCCACAAAAAATAGGTGAAAATTTGTTAGAAAAAAGATTTTTAGGCCTAGCAGTTATGGCACACACCTTTAATCTGGGCACTTGGGAGGCAGAAGCAAGAGGATCTGTGAATTCGAGACCAGCCTAATCTTAATCTCTTACAGAGCGAGTTCTAGGACAGCCTGGGCTAAACAGAGGAAACCTTGTCTTGAAAATAACAAAAGAAAACCAAAACCATGCTCTGCCCTCAAAACCACACAAATATAAAGCATCTAAAAAAGAAAGTTTTTAAAACAGTGGAAACTAAAAATCATCAAGTCCTTTCTTTAAAAACAGTTGTTCTTATGACCAAAGCAGCAGCACACATTTTAACATGGTCCTGAGTCGGCACACATTTGTGTTTCTCATATAATATTTAATGTTACCCGGGGTCAGCATGCATTTGTAGGGAGAAAAACACTTCGGCAGAGAAGCATGACGAGCGGAACTAACTGCCGACCCTAATCAGAACAGAGTCAGGGTTCACAGTTGGAAGGCTCTGGAAACTACCCAGAGACAGAGAGCTGAGATAGGCAGACGGAAAGCTTAAGTGAGATGGAAAAGGAGCTGTGACAGAGGGGCTGGAGGCGAACGTGGGCATCAGACAAGCATTATGCTGTCTCCTAACAGGATACTAGAAGAAAAAGCTATTTGTGGAGACCAACAGTTTCACGTCTTTCTATTTGAAATCATAATGGAATGTATGCAGGTCTATGTTTAATGGCTTATGTAACTGAAAAGCTGAAAAATTATTTCAAATGAACAAATGTGGGTTCAGGAGATAAAACTAGGGCAATCCTGAGGTGCATGCTAATGGACTTAACAAAAAAGAATTTTATACAAGAAAAAAAAAGAAAATACTTACTTGAACTTTCACTTCCTGGTGGCTCAGAAGGGGCACGAGGAATGGTACAACCCCTGAATCAATAACCATCTGTATCTGCTCATTTCCTCCATCTGTCAAGTATGACAGAGCCCAAACAGTGTCCACAAGAATCTATAAGAAGTACAAACAGAAAAAAGCTATTCCAGAAGTTGTAACAGAAAAATAAGGAGTTTTCTGTTTTAACTTGGTGGGAAAGATAACCGTGTACATGACTGATATAAGTATAATTTTTATCTCAGGGCTTACCTGCGATCACCTTTCATAAACATGAGACAGAAGTTTAGGATGCTTGTTTCCAATTTCTGACTTTATGTACCAGATAGATAAAAATAGAAATAATGTGTTGGCAAGATAGCTTAGCAAGCAAAGAGTTTGCAAGTTATCTTATCTTGGTGACCTGAGTTTGGTCCCCGAAACCAACATAAAGATGGAAGAAGAGAACCAACTAGAGAAAGCCATCCTCTGATCTCCACACAGGTACAGCATTCATACATAAACATAATACACAAACATAAAATAAATAAAAATTGTTAAACAAGCACAAAATTTTCCCTGAGCCCAAAAATTAGGCACAAAAATAATTGTGATCTATCTCATACACAAGTCTGAGGCCAAAACACTACACTGCTTCAAATCTAGAAGACCCCAAAATAATCTGCCAATACAATTTTTCCAACTACTAAAGTGAATAGGCTAAGGAATGGTTCAGTACTTGAACCTTGACAAAGGCCCTCAAATGAAAAGCATGAAGTACAATAACGTAGTGCTGAGTGTAATGGCACACGTGTGTGATCACAATACGTGGGAAATGTAACCAAAGGAGCAGGAGGAAAAGCCACCCTCAGCTACACAGTGAGTGTGAGCAGCCTAGGCTGCATGAGACCCAAAACCCAAATTAAGCCACATCCTCATCCATCTGAAGTTTTCAACTACAAGAACAAGACCAAACAGGGTACCAGCCCCCAGGACCTGGTGAACTGACTCAGTACACAGAGGTAGTGTGTGGTTCTCCTTGGTGTCCTCACAGCCCCCAGGATCTGGTGAACTGACTCAGTACACAGAGGTAGTGTGTGGTTCTCCTTGGTGTCCTCACAGCAGCCAGCCCCCAGGACCTGGTGAACTGACTCAGTACACAGAGGTAGTGTGTGGTTCTCCTTGGTGTCCTCACAGCCCCCAGGACCTGGTGAACTGATTCAGTACACAGAGGTAGTGTGGTTCTCCTTGGTGTCCTCACAGCCCCCAGGACCTGGTGAACTGACTCAGTACACAGAGGTAGTGTGTGGTTCTCCTTGGTGTCCTCACAGCCCCCAGGACCTGGTGAACTGATTCAGTACACAGAGGTAGTGTGTGTTCTCCTTGGTGTCCTCACAGCCCCCAGGACCTGGTGAACTGACTCAGTACACAGAGGTAGTGTGTGGTTCTCCTTGGTGTCCTCACAGCCCCCAGGACCTGGTGAACTGACTCAGTACACAGAGGTAGTGTGTGGTTCTCCTTGGTGTCCTCACAGCCCCCAGGACCTGGTGAACTGACTCAGTACACAGAGGTAGTGTGTGTTCTCCTTGGTGTCCTCACAGCCCCCAGGACCTGGTGAACTGACTCAGTACACAGAGGTAGTGTGTGTTCTCCTTGGTGTCCTCACAGCCCCCAGGACCTGGTGAACTGACTCAGTACACAGAGGTAGTGTGTGTTCTCCTTGGTGTCCTCACAGCCCCCAGGACCTGGTGAACTGACTCAGTACACAGAGGTAGTGTGTGTTCTCCTTGGTGTCCTCACAGCCCCCAGGACCTGGTGAACTGACTCAGTACACAGAGGTAGTGTGTGGTTCTCCTTGGTGTCCTCACAGCCCCCAGGACCTGGTGAACTGACTCAGTACACAGAGGTAGTGTGTGTTCTCCTTGGTGTCCTCACAGCCCCCAGGACCTGGTGAACTGACTCAGTACACAGAGGTAGTGTGTGGTTCTCCTTGGTGTCCTCACAGCCCCCAGGACCTGGTGAACTGACTCAGTACACAGAGGTAGTGTGTGTTCTCCTTGGTGTCCTCACAGCCCCCAGGACCTGGTGAACTGACTCAGTACACAGAGGTAGTGTGTGTTCTCCTTGGTGTCCTCACAGCCCCCAGGACCTGGTGAACTGACTCAGTACACAGAGGTAGTGTGTGTTCTCCTTGGTGTCCTCACAGCCCCCAGGACCTGGTGAACTGACTCAGTACACAGAGGTAGTGTGTGTTCTCCTTGGTGTCCTCACAGCCCCCAGGACCTGGTGAACTGACTCAGTACACAGAGGTAGTGTGTGGTTCTCCTTGGTGTCCTCACAGCCCCCAGGACCTGGTGAACTGACTCAGTACACAGAGGTAGTGTGTGTTCTCCTTGGTGTCCTCACAGCCCCCAGGACCTGGTGAACTGACTCAGTACACAGAGGTAGTGTGTGGTTCTCCTTGGTGTCCTCACAGCCCCCAGGACCTGGTGAACTGACTCAGTACACAGAGGTAGTGTGTGTTCTCCTTGGTGTCCTCACAGCCCCCAGGACCTGGTGAACTGACTCAGTACACAGAGGTAGTGTGTGTTCTCCTTGGTGTCCTCACAGCCCCCAGGATCTGGTGAACTGACTCAGTACACAGAGGTAGTGTGTGTTCTCCTTGGTGTCCTCACAGCCCCCAGGACCTGGTGAGCTGACTCAGTACACAGAGGTAGTGTGTGTTCTCCTTGGTGTCCTCACAGCCCCCAGGACCTGGTGAGCTGACTCAGTACACAGAGGTAGTGTGGTTCTCCTTGGTGTCCTCACAGCCCCCAGGACCTGGTGAGCTGACTCAGTACACAGAGGTAGTGTGTGTTCTCCTTGGTGTCCTCACAGCCCCCAGGACCTGGTGAACTGACTCAGTACACAGAGGTAGTGTGTGTTCTCCTTGGTGTCCTCACAGCCCCCAGGACCTGGTGAACTGACTCAGTACACAGAGGTAGTGTGTGTTCTCCTTGGTGTCCTCACAGCCCCCAGGACCTGGTGAGCTGACTCAGTACACAGAGGTAGTGTGTGGTTCTCCTTGGTGTCCTCACAGCCCCCAGGACCTGGTGAACTGACTCAGTACACAGAGGTAGTGTGTGTTCTCCTTGGTGTCCTCACAGCCCCCAGGACCTGGTGAACTGACTCAGTACACAGAGGTAGTGTGTGTTCTCCTTGGTGTCCTCACAGCCCCCAGGACCTGGTGAGCTGACTCAGTACACAGAGGTAGTGTGTGTTCTCCTTGGTGTCCTCACAGCCCCCAGGACCTGGTGAACTGACTCAGTACACAGAGGTAGTGTGTGTTCTCCTTGGTGTCCTCACAGCCCCCAGGACCTGGTGAGCTGACTCAGTACACAGAGGTAGTGTGTGTTCTCCTTGGTGTCCTCACAGCCCCCAGGACCTGGTGAACTGACTCAGTACACAGAGGTAGTGTGTGTTCTCCTTGGTGTCCTCACAGCCCCCAGGACCTGGTGAGCTGACTCAGTACACAGAGGTAGTGTGTGTTCTCCTTGGTGTCCTCACAGCCCCCAGGACCTGGTGAGCTGACTCAGTACACAGAGGTAGTGTGTGTTCTCCTTGGTGTCCTCACAGCCCCCAGGACCTGGTGAACTGACTCAGTACACAGAGGTAGTGTGTGTTCTCCTTGGTGTCCTCACAGCTGCAAAAGCACAACTCTTCACTCATCTGAAACCCAGAGGCCTTTCTACTAAGTGTCCAAATTAAAGACACCTTTTGCCTGAAAGTTTCAAAAGCAGCTACCTCAACGCACATATCCTTTAAGAAGGCATGCGTACAAGTCAGAGGAGCAGATAAAACTACACATAACTTATACCTTTAGCATTACTAAGAATCATGAGAACACAATTCCAAATTACCTATAAGAAGAAAACAAATACTAATTTGGATCTGGACTCATTCCAAACCTGTGTGAGATGAAAAGAATAAAGAATGAGAAGGAATGGAAGAGGTACAATTATGCATGTTTGAAACAGAAACTGTCAGGGGGAGCATTACGGAGGAAAAAAATCAGAAGGAACTCAAGAGCAACACCAAAAGAAACCATATAATCTAAGTATGGTTTGAATATAATGACTCCCATCAGCTCATATATTTGAATATTTCGTCATTAGGGGGTGGAACTGTTTTAGAAGAACTAGGAAGTATGGTTTTGTTGGAACAGGTGTGTCATACTGGAAAAAGTAAGTATGTCATTGGAGATGGGCTCTGAAGTTTCAAAAGCCCAAGCCAGGCCTAGTTTCTTTCTCTTCTGTCTCATGTATGTGGATCAGAATGCAAGTTCTCAGCTACTGCGCCAGCACCATGCCTACCTGCATGCTACCATGCTCCCCACCATGGTGACAATGGACTAAACTTCAAAACTGTAAGCAAGCCCCGATTAAATGCTTTCTTTTGTAAGATTTGCTGTGCTTGTGATGTCTGTTCTCGGCAATTAACACAGAAACTGTACCAAAACTGGGGTGTTGCTGTGACAGGTCTGGCCATGCAGTTTGTTGGCAGAATGTGGACTCTGGATTAGGAAAGCAGGTGAAAGCTTTAAGTGGGGCTTAACAGGCCAAACTAGTAAGAGCAGGGAAGATGGTGCTGAGAGCGATGGAGACAACAACAGCCTGGCCCAAGAGGTTTCAGAAAAGAGGAATGTTAATAAGTAGCCTTGAGACCATACTTGCAGTATTTTGGCAAAGAGTGTGGCTGTTTTCTGCCCTTGCCCACCCCACCCCCAATCTGCCTGACAGTAAACTGAAGACTTTTCGATTAATGGCATTTGCAGAGGCGATTTCAAGATAGCCTAGTATTGACTGTGCTGTGTTGTTATTAGTGTTCAATCTTACGTAGATGTTGAACAAGCAAGCTGAACAAGGAAAAAAAATGTACAGTTTGAAAAGAAAAAGGCACCAAGAAATGGAGCTAAGTCTGGTGTTCAAGGAGATAAAAAGTTTAAAGTCCAATGCTAAATAGAATAAAAGGAAATGGTGACCTCCGGGCAAGACCCTATCCAGCTAAGTTTCCAACTTGTGACGAGGGAATTAGAGAAAACCTTAAGTGAAGGAAACCACTGAAAACAGAAAGCTAGACAAGGGGACCAAGCTCCAGCC